CTCGGCCTTGTGAGGTGCGGTGGCGGGAGGCTGGAGAGGCACGCTTGGCTCTCCTTCCTCGCGTTATTCCCAGGCGACGAGCTCGGGGGGGGGTGGGGGGTGGAAAGAGGGTCAAAGTAAGGGTCTCTGACCTGAAATTTTGTGAGCTTAGCAGCTGAAGGAGCGAGTAAGTTACCGATCTTGATCGTGAAAATTTTAATGTGCCGTGCAGAAGGTTGGCTTACTTAAACCTCAAGCATAAGCTGACAGTACTTCTGTAGGAGACCTGTTCATGGGACATTCATGCGCTTTAGGGAGCGTTGCGGATGAAGAAATAGCGTTTTTATTTTCATAAGCGCTGGACTGAAACCCAGGAATGACTTGTGTTGCTGTTAGAAAACTGACGTTTTAATCTAGATAACAATAAACTACTCATGGCCATATCAGAGGTTATTTGGCTCCTGCTCTCTCAACGCAAGAGTTGTTTAGATTTTACTATCATGTGAATATTGCTGGTAGAGTAAATATAAAGGCCGCATGTAACACTGTTAAGCTTAATAGAAAGTTCCTTCATTCCAGTATTACACAAAAGGTACGAGAAGACAAAAATGAGCCAGTGATATTAGGCCAGAAGGTGATTAAAAGTGGAAACAATTGCACATTTATGGCAACGGTATTTGTGGAAAAATTCTGCAAGTATTAAAGAGACAGCACTGGGGCTTGCTACCATGTCTCAGTGAGACAGGGTTTTCTACCATCTTAAAAAAACCCAAAACATCCTTGTCCAGTGTTATATTAAAAGGAGAACCTGACTAGAACCCCGGCTTTCCTTCTCTGGTCTCTGCTCACGTGAGTCTGTTCTCATTTCCCCACCCCTTCCTTTGCTGCTGTGCTTCCCCTACTGTGGCATTTGTGCTCCTTATTGCCATGTCTTTCTGTACTGGCAAGAGCAATGGCCTAAAACTTAGAATATCTTCATTTTAGACCTGGCATTAAAGAAATCATTTCACTGTTGTTTATTTGAAAGTTGGGTTTGTAAATTGTTGCTGGGGAAGTATTAATGTTCGTGAGGCTTTTGAGTTGAGAGCAGAGAGATGTGAAGTCTTTGTTTTAATGGCTTGGGTGTTCTGGAAAAAATGTGCTGCTTTTTTTCTACCCTTGTAAGTCGTTCCTGCAGTACTGCTTGGTTTTGGACATCCCTTGGGTGGCAGCCTTTAATAATGCTTTTTTTGTTTTGTTTTGTTTTGCCTTGTCGTGTCTGTATTACTTTATGGTTTGACAAGTGTCTCATGATTCTTCAGGAAGAAGTAGTCTCATTTTATGATTTTAAGCCTGGTTTATGTTAGTGGAAATGAAGAGAGTGAGAACGGTATGTTACAGCCTGGCCAGCCCTGTTTGGATGTACTCCAGTCTGTTGTCACTGGATGTGTCTATGGAATCTTGTGCGCGCGTAGGCTATATATTTAAGTGTGTTCATGTCTTAATACTGACAGGAAACTATAGTCTTCGACATTTAAAACCTCTGAATGAAAAAATGCCTATGGTTTAGGCTTCTAAGATCAACAGGAGTTTCTAAGATTAGTGGCCTTATGTCACATCAGCCTTGCTAAAACTATCAGCTTGATCTTAATAAGCCTTATATAGGCCACTTAACATCTCCACTTACTTTCTCTTTAGTGGCTGTGTTTACTTAGGAAACATCGAGTAGGAAGATTACAGCAGTTTAATCAAATAGATTAAAAACAATGTAGTTACTTAACTTGTGTGTTCCTAGGTGTTGATGACTTTGGGTAGTTTCAAGTTCTGTTGGAGACTTCAGAGGTGGAGAGGAGAAATTGGCAACAAAACGTGAGGTGTTGGTGCAAGAATTTTACCACTCGAGGCATGGAAGGCCTGGAGAGCATGCGCTCTATCAGGGAACTACATCACTTCTAACTGAATTACCCAAAAAAGAATTTGCTGGTGGCACAGGACACAAGTATTGAAGAGAGCAAGTATGCCAAGCACAAGGAGTGTGATACTAAAGGTGCAGTTCAGTTGTGTTTGCCTAGCCTGACCGTTTGATGGGAAGAACTCTTTTGTAGTTCGCTTATAGAGGCTACCTAATGTCTCACTCAAAAAGAAATGGTATGTTTGTTGAGCTGCGTAAATGTAGCGCTTGTGTTACAAAAAGATGACTGAATTTTCAGCAAGTGTTGAAGAAGAAGCAGCCCAAAGGAAACGTGTGAATAACCCCCTCATGGCAGTCTCTGATTTTGTTGTCTGATTTACGTGTGTTTCTTGTATTAAAAAAAGGAGGAATTTGCACTTAACTGCAATTCAATTTTTTTTTGAGAAGAATCTTTTACTTCAGTTCTGACAATAATGAAATTACAGTATGGTCTTTATGTCTTCTTTTTTGTTTTGGTTTATTGGTTTAGGCTAAACTGCCTTCTAAATTTGTCTCTGCAAGATCCTGGTGAGCCAGGGGGAGAGAAACTATATTTCTCGTGAGCTGAAGAGTCTCTTCAAGCACAGTTAGTGGCAATGTATACTGACATACAGCTTAGATTTTTATTTTTTTTATTATTGCTGAGTAACTGTGTGTTATATGGAATACAATTGTGTGCATAGTGGGGCTGTAGAGTCTCTATTCCTTTCCAATGACAGGGATCAATGATGTTTATTTTAAAACTTTCTCACATAGCTTAATTCAGTTAATTAAACCACTACAAAAGACAGTTTGGCTGTTGAAGCTAACTGAGTAGTACTAAAAAAAGTGTGAAACAAAACAGAGTAATACTTCAAGGAGTGATTCTCAGTTGGTTTATAGCCGAGTCCTGTTTGTGTCTACAGACCATGTTCTGCCATATGTGATTTACTTTCTGTCAGGCTTGCAGCTATCTTTGTAGCTGCTGCAACTATGTAAGAGGTTACTGTGTCATGGGCTTGGGACCTCTGTGTCACAAACTAGGAGTGCTCAGATTGTCTGTGCTGCTTTTTTCCTGTATGTGTTCATTTTCTGTTTGCATGCTCTTCTTGAATACTGTTCACTTAGTTTCTTTCTTACAAAGTGCTTTTCCCAAGATCCTTGTGCAATCTCTTTCCTTTGCGAAAGAATGACCTTCTGTAAGTGTGTTTTAATATAAACAAGTTTTGACCTTGTTTAATGTTAGCATGTCATTCTCGGTTTATCCAGGCCTCCGTAATTATTCTGGTCTGGAAAAAACAAAACCAAAACCGAAAACAAACCCACTGAATTCAGCTGGGGAAGTTATTTTGGTAGATTTCCAAGTGCAGGCATTCCTAAATGACCCAGTCTGCTATAATTACTGAAATACCTTTCTGAAATAAACTTGTAAGTAGAGCTGTAGTTCAACTTTCAGGTACATGGATCTTTGTATGTGTTTGGGGCTAGACTGAAAAAAGATGGCCATACTGGAGATCCCTATTTCGTGTCAGCTTTGATATAACATCTCAATTTAGCTTTACTTCAGTGTGCAAGGCGGGCCTTAGAGGACTACAGGTTAATCCCAAATAGCCAATAATATTCATCAGCAGCTACATACCTGGGTAGCCAATCGGTCACATAGGCCCGGGGAAAGTAAATAACCCATCAGACAGGTCTGTTTGAGGCAAGTAGAGTTTCCAGAGTGTCCTAGCATTTAAGGAAGGATGCAAAGAGGCTTGAGCTCATTCTGTGTGCGCTACAAGCTGGCTTGGTAAGGGCTAGGTGTGAGCCAGAACCCTTACAGCCCTACTGATGCTGAAGGGTGACTGAGCTAGCAAGCTCCACGCAACTGCCTGGTGTGGGTTATGTTGGGGTACCCCCCCAGATGACAGTAAAGATATTAACAGACGTTTCATGGAACGAGTTGTGGTACTGAAAAGGTTACATAAAAAATAGTTAAGCGCAAATAAAGACAGGGATGGAATACAAATTGTGTAATCTTTTGATGGTGCATCAGAGAGTCATTTGAGGATGTGCTGGTGCTATATTGTGAATGTATGCCAGTATACTGTACTCACGTAACGCTCTCACTGCTACTGCGCAGCTGATGTAGTGCCTGAGACTTCCACGAGTCTGAGGTTGTCAAAAACACATACCGTGTGCTTTTGGAGCTTGTTTACTCCTGAAGCTATGTATTTAGCTATATTCTAGCCTTTTCTGCTTTAAGTTTCGTACCAAATGTTTTGGATGGATTTTGCAGCTGTGAGGTTAAACTTGCTTTTGGTTAGCTCTTTGTGAAGTTTTACCTACACATACAAAATGGCACTTACCCCTTATTTGTCATATGTTAGTGTTCATATTCCATGTAGTTACTAACGAGTTTGGACAAAAAAGCCACATGTTTAAGATAGAATAGTGAATCATAGTGAATTCTCATTGTGGAACGTGTCTCGGGAGATCCTGATTCTGTAGGTTACAATCAAAATATCTGTGACAACTGCTAAAGCTACTGGCACTGAAAAATATCACAAATGTTGTAATTTAGTAATCTTACTGTACTGTGAACAGCTGAGCGTGCAGCTGATAATCACAGTGAGTGCATGCAGTTTGGGAACTGTCGTGTCCTGGGGCATATCTGGAGGAAAAGATGAGCAATGGATCCTCCCCATTTTTAAATAGAATTTTTGGTATGAAATTGTTTAGTTTATGTGGTACCTATAAAACTTACCTGTCTTGAGGAAGCTTGTAGGGCTCTTCCAGAACTGATACAAAGAGTAAGCCCGGTTTTGTCATTGCTGTCAGTTGTATGCGCAGTATTAGATCAGGTTTCTGCAGGAGTGTTTACATTGCATGTTGCCAGCAGGCATGCATCAGCGCTGGAACTGAAAGCCTGCCGTTGAAAAGGTACCTAGCAGATACAATTTGAACAAGATGTGGGGTTAGGAAAGTGGAGGTTGAAAACAGCCTTATGTCTCCAAACATAATTATTAGTCTTCTGATGGAAGATGACTATTAGAAGATTTTTTCACATTAAAATGTATTAGAAGTTTAATGGTTTTTTTTTTAACATAACATTAACGGAGAGACTCTGCATCTAAGACACTCACAAAGTTTAGGGTTAGAAGATACTGTTAAATAATTACCTGCCATTTATTGCATGCAGATGTGTTTTTTCTACTGCTGTCTGTGAATTGACCTTAAAACCTTACGCTTGATTTAAATTCATCTTGAAAAAAAAAACCAAATTCTTCTTAACGTGAATGTTAAGCATCAGCATGCTAACCACTGAATCGGATCAGAAAGATGAATGCTAGTCAGCCGTTACTGTCTCTTATTTTCATCTGACTAGCTTCAGCTTCCAACTAGCAGTTTTGTTACAGCTTTTGTTGATAGGCTGGGATCCTTTGCCTGGAATTTTTTCACTGTGAGGTATCTGCACTTGTGAAGGAACATTTTATCTTGATTTTGTAAAGCTAAATGTGTTGTTTAAATGAGTTATTTCAAGCCTCATGAAAATACCACAGAATTAACTTATTTGGCTTTTTGTTATTACTCTTTGAAATGTGGCTGTTAGAGCTTTAAGTAGAATCCTGATAGGAGTTTTGCCTAACACTGGAACAGAATCATTTTACTACTCTTTTCTTTTTACCTTGAAAGACTATCCTTTTGTCACGGTGGAAGCTGGATTGTCTGTCTGCTTTTGTTCTTGAATTCTTTGGGGGTTATTGCTTTTCCATATTCAGTCCTTCTTTCTCTAGATACGAGCATGAGTAAAGTTTGCATTTCATAACATAAAAAGGGGTTTACTTTGCATGGGGTGCAGCACAGCAAGTAGCTGGAAGTCTTTGTGTGATGCAGCTGTTGTTATTTATAACCTGCTACTGTTTACGACTCTGCCAGTCTCTGGCAGGCGGTGATAGTCCAATACTATTTATAATATTGAAGGTTTTTATGAGGCCTAGTATTGATTGTTGTGAAGGTCTGGCAGAGTCACTGTGGTTAGATAACTTTGTTCAGCCGTCACTATTGAACTGTGATATGGTAGAGATACTTTTGTGTGTGTGTGTGTGAGTACTATGTAGTATTAGATCATGGTGCATTTCGTTATCTGTATCAGTCACTTTTGGAGACTGTTTCAGGGATTAAGTGTGCTTGCTTGATAGTCACTTCTATTATTTTTTTTTTTCCCAGAACAAGTTTGTTTTCAAATGTTATGCTGGTAGTTGAATCTTCATAAGTGCAGTTCTGCAGAGTTTTCTCAAGAAATGTTAGCTTTGGTTTCAATTTTTAACTATTTTGATTATGCTGTAAAGGAACATTTCATTTCTATAAGTAATTGAGACTTCATATATTCTGAATTTGGTATTTTAGTATCGTTATGGTACAAATTCCATAAATTGCTGTGGATGATTGAACTGGATCACCAAGGCAGTAGGCTGGGGGTGTGTGTGTGTGTTACAAAGGCTAAGCACAGGGAATTCTGCCTTCAGTAGGTGATTTGACTGGTCACTTCTTGCCTGTAAGCACGGGCTAGTAGTCTGCAAGTGAGCATCCTCCAACTGATGGGATCGATTGTGTTTTGTTTCCCTAAATGGCAGACAATTTCTTAGGCTGCATTCTGCTTGATTTTGGACTGACCAAAGGTGCCTTCAGGTGCTGGGAAAGGCAGATGGTGTTACGCTGCATACCTACATGTGTGCATACTCGTCCTCTTCTTTTTTTTGCTGAAGCTGATGTGGCATTGAAGCAGACAGTGGAATATCTTTCGGTGAAAGAAAGAAGACAAGAATGCCTAATGCACATGAAGCAGCAAACAATGTTTTTGGTTTTGTGGCTTTTTTAGGGGTGTGGTGTGGTGGGGTTTTTTTAGCAAGTAACAGAAGTGATACAGAATACAGCTTGACAGAAATTGCAAACTTGACAAAACTACTTTCTGGAAGGACAAAAAGATAGGATTTGCAGTTCTTGAAGATCTAAGAATGTTTGGGATGCCTTTTTTTTTTCCCCAGAAACTGGTAGAAATTATTGAAGTACCTGCTTTAGATTAGATTTGGACTAATAATGAGGTGCTTGAAAATCAGAAACTTAATTAAATTTTGAAAATGATAATGAATTGATAGCATTCCTTCCCCTCGGGAATGGAAGAAATGACAACTAGTGATTTTAAAGTAGTATAACTTTTACAAGCTAAGGAAAT